GCTGAATTACTGCCAGGAATCCCGCTGGCCAGCAAACGATGCTGGCTTGTGGGCAACACCTGTCCCGTTTGGAAGCATCGGTCACTTCTTTGCGCTTTTAAAAACCAGAAGACACATCCCTCTCCAGGGCGCAGTGTGGGAGGGCAGCCCCTAAACCGGGCTCCTTGATGGTCCCCTGTGTCCCTCCATGTGCTGGCCTCGTGTCCTGCCGGTGCAGATGGCAAACTGGTTTTGGCATTTGCCAAAACGCAGCCAGGAAAATTCAGCCAACACTGTTGGCTTGGCACGAAGGGGCAGCGCTAAAGCTACACTGGCGTGCCAACACCTGGGCTTTCTCGTGAGGTCAGAAACGCGGGGCAGTGCGCTGGAGTTATTTCTGGCTGGTACTGAAATGCAAAATCAAGCTGTTATAATGCGCCACCGAGCATGGGTGCTTTCTCTGTGGGAGTGGTGCTGGGGGTCCCAAGGACTCCTGTTCTGAGATTTTTAAATTGTGGTGAAGAAAACTTGCAGAGAAGTGGAAGTGCCTAAAACATGGTATAAGACCGCACTGAAGGGAGATAATTTTTGAAGCTTTTCTTGGAGTGATACTTCTGTGAAGCTGTAATAAAGTAACACAGGTTTTGCAGTAACAAATGCTCTGTCATTGAAGGCATTAAAACGGGGAGGATGGAGGACAGAAAAGGGAAACAAGCTGTCTGTAGGGGCCCCTCAGCTGTGCTGTGTCTGAAAGCAAAGCTGCTGAACTGCCAGAGAAAGAAACATAAGGGGGGGAATATTCAGCTTGCTTTGTCGAGAGACCCTTGATATGGCCTCAGATCCGTACTCAGATGTTTCCAAGTGCCAAAAGGAAGGTGGCTGCAGCAACTGCACAGAGCTTGCGAATGCTCTAAAAATAAGATCTTTGAAGAAACAGGATGGGTGCAATTTTCTTCAGAGGCTGGTGCTGATGCTGCTGTCAGGGGCTGCTGGCAGTCGGGGAGCACGGGCGGTGACTAAGGTGGCAGAACCCATTCTCCAGGCGAAGGGGCTAGCGGGGGGGACACCTCGGCTCGCAGCATGGCTGGGATCAATGGAGGAGCACGGGCTGCGCACTGTCGGCTTTACTGCACCAAGAGGAACAGGTTGAGGTGCGCAGCCCCAGCCTCGTGGGATCTGCTCCGTACCCCAGCGCCTGTGTCCCGGGGCTTGCTCGTGTGTCCTCTTCTAGCAGCAGCTGGGATGGGGTTGGGGTCCCTGGCCCACTCCCCTGCAGCTGCCTGGTGGCGTGCTGCCCGACATTCACTAAGCCCTCAGAGCTGAGAGCCGAGTTGCTCACAGGAACGCTCCCTGGACACGTGCCGTCAAAAAAGCAGGCTCCCGAGTTGCCAGGAACCTCTTTTTTCAGCACTTCAACCTACCCCAGGTCATTACGGTTGGGTCGGGTGAGGGAGCGCTGTCCCGAGCAGCTCGAGGGACAGACGGGGGCACTGACTTCTGCTGGGGACTGGTGAGGTACCCAAGAAGCCGTTTGGGAATCCGTAAGGTCTGTCCCAGCTGCAGCCACAAAGGGTGTGTGAAAGGTGTCCCACGGGCAGGCGACTACCCCCGAGAATCGTTCAGGTGGGCAAAGTAGTCGGGAGTGGAAAGGAGAGGGGCAAAAAAGCAGCTGAGTGGCCCCAAAGAGGGAGACCGCTGTTGCCGCCCCTGGCCTCTGGTTGCGAGCCCTCTCCTGGTGTTTAACCTTGCCACCTGCAGAAGAGAATGAGAGAGAGCAAAACTCTCTCCAGCCTGGAGCTGAGGAGACAGAGCAGACGCTTGATGGAGCTCGAGTCGAATTTGTGTCAGACCTTTGGCTGACGCAGATCTCGGCTGCAGAGGCTGTGGCCAGGATTTGCCGCGGCGTCTCCTCTTGGAGCTGCTCTGGTTTGTGCAAATGCCGGGTTTCGGGGCTCTGACTGCTGACACAGTCCTGCGCCGCTGCGGGTCGGCTGCTTCGAGCCCGCAGCTTT